CTGTTGCCCCCCCCCCCGCCTCCCACACCCACCCAACCAGGGTCAGAAAGAGCAAAGGGGGCTTCAGAGACAGCGGAACCCGCCATCTCCCCGCTCGCAGCGGCTGGACCGGGTCCCCCCCCCCCCCCCCCGCCCCCCCCCCCCCCCAGCCAGGAATGCAGGCCCGTGTGTCCAGGGGCACCGGGAGACCTCGGGTGTGAACCCGGGGCCCTCACACGAGGACTCAGCGTTACAGAGGACTGCCTCCCACTGTGCCACCATGACCGGCCCAGGATCCTCCACTGACTCACTCTTGCAAAGTCTCTTTTGCTGTCTGAGAGAATATTCACAAGGTCTTTAGGACGCAGACATTTCTGGGGGCCGCTTTTCAGCCTACTGCAGCCCCCCTCTCCCCAGAGCAGAAGACACCATCTCTGCAATGCCTCATGGATGCGGCCTCGCTGAACCTGTCCCTCCCACACCGCCGTCCCCTCCTCTTTCCCCCTTTCCCATTTCACCCCCTTCCGTGGGCCTCCTGGACCGCCTCAGGCCTTTGCCCTCGCTGCTCCCTCCTGCTCCCTCCGCCTGGAGCGCTCTCCCCACCCCAGCTCCCTGTCTCCCTCCCTCCTCTCCTTCAAGTCTCTGCTCATCTGTCACCTTCTCTGCTGTCCCTATTTAAAATGTGTCCCTCTGCACTCCCAATGCCCTCTACTCTTTCTCTCCCACCCGACCCACCAAGGGTGAAGCATTTATTTTGTGCCCCCGGGCGGGCGAGCACAGGCTCCCTCTCTTTTGTCCCTGCCAAAGCTGCAGGAGTCTAGAACTGCTGGTAGACAGCGAGGGCGAGGGCGAGGGCAGGCTCCTTTATTGCTGAATGAATGAATAAATTAAGGGGTGACAGGCGGGACCCAGGTGGGGACCCGAGCATGGGATGGAGGTAGCTGAGGGAGCTGCCCTGAGGCCATGGGTGGGATTCCAGGAGGGTACAGGCCCCGAGCTGGCAGCAGGCTCTCAGAGGGAAACCTCTGGGTGGGGAGGACTGTTGAGGACTGTGGCCCACTGGGGCTAGGCCAGGACTCCCTGCCGTGTGATGGCCCCGGATCTGCATGGTGGGGGGCTGCCTTGTCCTCAGAGGCAGGGGCTCCCAGCGTGACTGGGGTGGGGGGCCTGAGACAGTTGGCAGCCCCGCCAGGCATCTGCCTGTGAGGCACGCCTGAGTCCACCCCCCTTCCCCAAATATCTGGATGGGGGACCCTGGCATGGGAGGGGGCACGAATCCCAGACCGGGTTGTTCGGAATAACACACCAAAGGGGGCGAGCGAGGAGCCGGACCTGGCACAGTCTGGGGCTCCTTCTGGGACACCTGGCTGGCACCATGCTGGGTCTTTGGCCAGTCCTGTCCGCCCCACAGCCCCGGCCACCTTGTCCTGCGGGTCTCTGGCGTCCTTCCTGTAGGTGCGGGGTTGGGGGCCCCAGGAGGGCGGAGACTCGTCTTCTCCTGGAGGGGCACCTGGGGGCTTCAGGAGGTGGGCACCAGCTGGCAGTAGGGGTCAGGGTCCGGGCTTATCAGGTCCTTGGGTGGGTAAACGAAAGAGGAAGTAAGACGGTGGGGGCAAGGCGAGTGTGGGGGGCCCAGGGACAGAGGGAGAGAGACAGAAAGGAAGCAGGGGTGGGGACGGGAGACACGGGGAGACACACACAGAGAGGGCCGGAGGCCGGGATGGAGAGAGAGACACGGAGAGACACAGGGAGACATGCAGAGAGAGGGCTGGAGGCCGGGATGGAGAGACACGGAGAGACACGGGGAGACACGCAGGGAGAGGACTGGAGACCGGATGGAGAGAGAGATACGGTGCTATGAGAGGCTGCAAAGCTGGCAAAAGAGACACAGAGCAACAGAGACTAGGAGGCAGGAGAGACAGAGACACAGGAAGGGAGTGTGGCAGAGACAGTGGGGTGGGGAGAAACAGGATACATAATGAGATACAGAGGGGAGAGAGAGGCCGACCCTGAGGGCGGAGGCGCACATGCAGGCATACAGACAGAGACACTGAACACCCCTCTGAGCCTACACAGGAGGAAGCTGCAGGCCCGAGGGGAGGGGCCTTTCCACAGGTGTGGGGTGGGGGTTGGGCTGAGGACGCCCCCCGCCGTGGCCCGGCCCTCCCCGCCCAGGCAGGTGGTGGCACTCCTGGCTCTGGGACCCTCCTGCCCTCCACACCTGGTAGTGCTGCTGCTGCTCCTCTGGCTGCAGGGGTGGGGGCAGGGGCGGGGGCTGCAAGGAAAACATGGGTGAGTCAGGCCCCGGCCCCTTCCGTACCCCACCGCCCACTGGCCTTTGACCTTTGGTGTTCAGCAGAGTTGGATTTGAGGTCCCCGTTGCCCCTCCCTTGCAAGGTGCAAGGCTCCTGGGAGAAGGGAATCAACCCCCAGCAGCCTCTGGTGCCTAGTGGCGGAAGGACACTGGGTGCCCGGCGTCCAGCAGCCACCCCATGAAGGCTTAGCTGCCTGCATTGGCACCTTTGGTTCTAAGATCTCTGCCTTCACAGCTTCTCTTTGGACTTAATTAACTTATTGTACTTAATCCTTCCTCACTCCCACTATGAAGGGAATACCTGCTCCGTGTAGATAACACGGACAAGGATGAGAGAGAGGGAAACCCACCCGCTAGCCTCCACACCCCAGAGACAAATGCCGGATCCTTCAGCCTTTCCCTTATGATTTTCCAAATAGCATGAGACAGAGAGACAGAGACAGAGAGAGAGAGCACCCTCAATGGGGTCTCCACGCCACGATCCACCCCAGCCTCAGCCAGCCCCGGATCACGGGCACGCGTGAGCCAGGTGCTCTCAGGGCAGTCTCCAGAGTTGAACCTGGGACCTTCCCACGTGGGTGAGCCTTGCCGAGTGTCACGTTTTACTGCGGCACTAGCGTCCGCCTCCTTATGATTTACAAATAGCTCTTTATCCGTGACAGAATACGCGCACACGCGTGAGGGCGAGAGCGAGAGACAGCGAGCGGGGAGAGAGGAGCGCCCTGCCCGGGCCTGGCACACTGCGGTCCCTTCCTCCAGTCCTCCAGCCATCGGACTTGGGGCTCTGGCACTCATGCCTGGTGTGTTTCAGGCTGACCGGGCTGGGGATTTGAACTGGTCCCACCATGTGGGATCCAGCTTCTCTTGAGCAGTGCATGGCAGCTGCACCATGGAGCCACATCCCCCAACCCTTACAATATCTAAAATCAGGAACATCAGAGAGAGTTGAGGTTCCCAAAGTCTGTGTCATGGCGCCCCAGGACACCTCGGGCAACCCAGAGGGGAGGCGCCCTGTTAGAAGTTGGCGTTCGGGGGAGGGTGGAGATGGGACTCACCATGGCTGTGGTTGTGTACACAGTGTCACTGAGGGGGGACACCAGGAGCACTGGAGATGGCATCACCTCATAGAGGTTCTCGTCATCTGAAACAGAACGGGGCGGGGGTGCCAGCTGACAGACGGTACCCACAGGCCCTCTCAAGCTGCCCACCGACATTCATGTATTCATTCATTTATTCAACTAGCATTTGTGCACCCCCCTGCCCCCGCCCCTGCTCCTGCCCAGCCCTGTGTAGGGTCACAGTGGTGACCAAGACGGTGCTGGCCCTGCCCTCCTGGGGCTCCCAGGCCAGTGGTGGAGACAGACCCATCCCCAGGGCGATAAGCCAGAGTGTTTAGGGCTGGAGTGTGGGGAAGGGGGCCTTGGGGCTGCAGGAGCCCAAGAGAGACGACTGACCAGCCTGTGGGTCAGGGAGGGCTTCCTGCAGAGGGGACATCGGGAGAGTAAAAAGAAGTGAGAGTGACGTAAAGCAGAAGAGGGTGCGTGCAGAGGCCTGGCGGGGAGAAAGCGGCCACGTTCGAGGAACCGTGACGTATTCGGTCAGCCTGGATCACGTACAGGCTGGGGACTTCCCCAAGTTCATGGAAAATGAAATTAAAGTACAAGTTTATTTTGGTGCAAAACCCCCCTGAAATCCATGAATATTCTTTGCTACTATACATTTTCTGCAAACCTTTGGCAGACCATCACATTTATACGTCTTTTTCTGGGGCGGGGGAAGTGGCATGTGAGAGAAGCCATTGAAGGCCGTGAGGACCAGTTTACAAAAGGCCTTGAGAGCCGGGTCCTGGGGAGCCATGGAGGGCTTTGAGCAAAGCTGCGACAGGGCCAGGTTTGAGGAGAGCTCTGCCTGGGGATGGGTTGGGGGAGCCCGGGTGCCTGGAGACTAGCGAGGAGATTGTTCGGGGATTTGGGAGATGGAGTCTGGGTTGATCGTGGCCTGGGGGGTGGATGGGATCCACTGAATGACAGGCTGTGGAGAAAAGAAGTGGGTGTGGGGTGGTTGATGGTGTTCAGATGCCGTGGGCTGTCTGGGGGCAGCAGAGAGGTCTGGGGGGCAAGGCGTTAGGAGGTCCCTGAGTGGGAGAGAGGGGAGGGGGGCAGTGGCCAGGGGCTGGAGGAGGGCTGGGCAGTGAGGTTGGGGGTTCCCAGCTTACCAGTACTATGAGGGGGGCCCAGCTCCGGCTTCTCTGTGGGAGTCATCCTGGGGCATGTGGGGGGAAACCGACATTAGGACAGCAAGATGCTCAGGCCGTGGACAGAGGCCCAGAGAAGCTGGATGCCCACTAGGCCCCGGAGAGCGCCACGACCCCTCCTTTGGAGTAAGCCAGGCTGAGGCCCGTCCATCCCAGCCTCGGGTCCATGACGTCCAGCCACGCAGCCCTTCCTCAGTCTCCCCGGCCACCACTTCGTGCCAAAGAGCAGGTTTCCCACATGCTACCATTCATGCCAACCATCTCCACGGTCCGCTCCAGCGAACTGCTTTAGGTTGTCCTTAATATATATATTTTTTCCAACCAGCTCACTTGAATACCCTTATTTATAAAGCACATGTGAAGGACTAGCGTAATGGTTGTGTCGCTGAACTCGCTCGTAGTGCTGGGTTCTAGTCTCAGACCAAGGGACTTAAAACCCATGCATGTGCATGTGCGCCCCAAATTCAGGAGAATGGAGGAGAAAGGATTGAAGAGTGGCCATCCCCTCTGGGAGGTGATGTCTCCCTTTCTCTCTCTCTCCTCTCTTTCTCTCTCTGTCAAGCACATGTGTCTTACGGCAAAAAAATATAGATGAATAAATAAATAAAGTTAAATAAAATAGTTATTAAAAAAAAAGAACGACGAGGACAGAAACCATGGCGCGTTAGGGAGTTGGGGAGGAGGCAAACCGCTGCCTCTCTTTTCGATGACCTTCTGGGTGGTGAGAGATTAACCATCTCATCTGCAGCCAGCTCAGAACCAAGGGCAGGAGAGGCCAGAATTTTTCAGATTGTCCTCTTTGGAAACAGGCTCTCTCTCTCCTTCTCTCCCCACGCACTGGCAGATACCATCTGAGGGCTTTGCCTCTCTTTGATAATAGCGGCTAGTTTTCCTTTGGGGACCCCCTGCCCCACTCTCCAGCCACTGGACCAAGAGACTGCACAAAGAAACGGCCAATCAGGGCCTCCCGACACCAGGCCATGTGAGGCCATGTGACCTAAGTTAAACCAATGAGAGGCAGCCCCGCGGCTTTTACTGGGACTCTCAGGAACAAGGTGCGTTCCTTTCTCCGGGTGGCTGAGCTGATGGGATCTGAGTCCGGAGCCACTGGGAGCCATCATGCCAGGGCACAGCCTGCCTGAGGATGAAGCTATTGTAGAGAAGAACAGAGCTGAGGAATGTATGGAGGAGTTTCTTGACAAAATGGAGCATCTAGGTCCAGCCATCGCGGATGCTGTAAAGTTGCGGGGGATGAGAACAAAATGATTTGTTCGTAAGTCAGTTTAGGAGTAGGCTCCTTGTCCCATACAATGCAGGGTTCTGTGTAATACAGGACAGAAGCATCCTTTCCACCTCAGGGGTTCCAACTTTTGATGAGATTGTGTGGGCTGGAGGGTGCGACTTGGGGAAGAATGAAAGGGACCCAAGAGGGGAGGAATAGGAGGAGACAGAAGGGAAGGAAAGCGAGAGCCGGGACCCCTGTACCTGTGGCTCTGGCCCTTCCAGCATCTTGTCACCAGGAAGTAGGTGATGCTGCCCACGAGGAGGGACCCAGCAGCTAGAGACCCAATGGTGATGGCAGCCACGATCTTGGCATTCACGGGCAGGTGTACGATGGGCAGCACATGCTTTTCTGGGGGGATGAGAGGGGGCTGTGTGCTGTCCCGTGGGGGCCCTGTCCCCACTGCACCAGCCACTCCCCGTTATTTCCAGCCCAGAGCCTTCTGCTTTGCAGGCCAGCCATCTGGAAGGTGTGTCACACTCAACACGTCCCGGGCCGCACTCCTAGGCTGTCCGCACCTCGAATTTCTGCTTCCCGGGTCTCCTGCCATTCTCGGCTTGTCCAGGCCCCACCTGGCCCCACCTACCTGCTGCTTCGCACCTTCATCCTTCCAGCAAAGGAATGAGGTTCCGGGCTGTGCCTTGTGGGGGATGCATGGCGTCTCCGACTTAACCTGCCAGATCTGGGAGGGAGTCTGCCTGGCTCCCACTCATCTGACCCCCAGCACAGGGACCTCCCAGCCCTTAATCTCAAACTGGACCCCATTTATATCCTGGCACTTCTTAGCAGCAAAATTGCTAGACTCTGAGGTCAGAATGTGGCGGGGGGGCTGCTTACTGGCTGTGTGACTCCGAGCAAATCACCCAGCCTTTCTGTGCTCTGGTTTCCCCATCTGTGACATGGGAGTAGGAATATTACCTTTCTTACAGAGTTGTTGTGGAGATCAAATGAGTGTGTGTGTGTGTGTGTGTGTGTGTGTGGTATGCACCAACACACTATACATATATGTATGTATATCTGTATGTGCATATATGTATATATGCATCTATATCTGTATGTGCATATATGTATATATGCATATATACCTGTATGTGCATATATGTATACATGCATATATATCTGTATGTGCATATATATGTGAGGAACATACAAAATGTTCTTCCAATTACCCAACAAAGTAGGTTTTATGCTGTTTTATCAGTCCGCCTTAGTAGGTGTGGCACTGGGACACAGCTAGGTCAATGGAACGCCTCATGACTCATTTGGGCAGCTTCCAAAAAGGGATGTCTGGGACCAGCAGTTAGCGTAATGGCTATGTCACTGGACTCCCACGTAGTCGACTGCGGTTCGCGTCCCGGACCCAGTGGCTTAAAACTTGCGTGCCCAAGATCCCGAGAGGAGAATGGAGGAGAAGGAATTGTGGCGTGACCATCCCCCCGGGGGGGGTGATTTCTCGCTTTCTGTCTCTCTGTCTCTCTCTGTCTGGCAAGTGCATGTGCCCTATAGAAAAACCTCCCAAAAAAAAAAAAAAAGGGGGTGTGTGTCCATGTCCTGGGAGCCCTTGAAGGGTGTGAGTGAGCTACGTCAGGCTCTGTGTGGGGTAAAGACTGTTACTTCCAAACAGACGAGAGGGTCATTTCATACCTATGTGCATAACCAAATTAATAAATACGTTTTTACTTTCTCTTTTGCAGCCATCGCCGGAGCGGCAGCGGCCAGAATGGAAGTTCAATCCTTTCGTGACTTCTGATCGAAGCAAGAACCGTAAAAGGCATTTCAATGCACCTTCCCGCATCCGAAGGAAGATTATGTCTTCCCCCTTTCCGAAGAGCTGAGGCAGAAGTACAACGTGCCATCTGTTCAGGTTGTGCGAGGACACTATAAAGGGCAGCAGACTGGCAGAGTGGTCCACGTGTACAGGAAGAAATACGTCATCTACACTGAGCAGGTGCAGCGGGAAAAGGCCAATGGCACAACGGTGCATGTGGGGACTCGCCCCAGCAAGGCAGTTATCACTAGGCTGAAACTGGACAAAGACCGCAAAAAGATCCTTGAACGGAAAACCAAGTCTCGTCAAGTAGGAGAGGAAAAGGGCAAATATAAGGGAGAAACCATTGAGGAGCTGCAGGAGTCAAATAATCTTATATACCGTTCTTATTAAGAACTGCTAAAATGAAAAAAAAATACGTTTTTGTGAAATTTCTTTCTTCCATGAGTGCACGTCCATCGCCGATGATGAACGCGCGCATGCCCCGCGTGTTCAAGGAGGTCTGTGGATGTGAACTCAGAACCTTCCCATGTGGGACAGCCCAGCCGAGCGGGCATTGCCGCTGCGACCCTGTCTGGCCCTCTGGCTCTCTTTTTTTTCTAGTTTCCTTTCTCTCTGCCTCTGCACTTTGGTCCCGGACATAGAGAGGAGAATGGAGCCCAGTAGCAGAGACAGGCCAGGGATGGCGCACCCTGCAGGGGCCGGAAGCACCGGGCCTTTCCCTCAGCAATCCCATGTCCCAGCAGGCCCTGGGCTCCGCTGCATCCATCCATCCGGCAGTGTTTGGACTCTGCTCTGGGCTCCGAGGAGAAGCTGTGAACCAGACAGGAGCTCTGGCCTCCTGGAGCTGACAGGCCAGGCGTTAGCCATGCGGTTCTACAAGGCCCTCCGCCCCACTTTGAGCTCATTGGAATGAGCCTCAGTAAACCTTTAACTTACGGACATGAAGCCTGAGCGATACAGTTGTATTCCTCAGGACCAGGCTTAAGTAGGTATCCAAGAAATATTTGCTTAATCAATGCACGGGAGGCTTAGATGAGATGGTGCACCCCACAGCCTCTGGTGTGAGGACGGCATTCGGTAGATATTTTCTTGGTTAGTGCATGAGAGGACTAACTGCTGTCTCCAGGGCCTGGCCACAGCAGGTGGACAATCAATGAGTGCTGAATGAATGAATGAATGAATGAATGAATGAGTGGACTGAAAGAGGTGGTGTTTGTACACAAGGCCCTTTAGATTCCCACTCCCTCCCAAGTCCCTAGGACTCACCATCCACCTGGACCTCTGTCCTGGCTCTCATGGTCCAGGCAGGGTTGATGGTGACTGCTACGTGGTAGGTGCCGCTGTCTGTAGGCTGGGCGCGACGCAGCAGCATGGAGCCGTTGGGGAAGCCGGTGATGTCTCGGGTTTCTGGGACCAGCAGTTAGCGTAATGGCTATGTCACTGGACTCCCACGTAGTCGACTGCGGTTCGCGTCCCGGACCCAGTGGCTTAAAACTTGCGTGCCCAAGATCCCGAGAGGAGAATGGAGGAGAAGGAATTGTGGCGTGACCATCCCCCCGGGGGGGGGGATTTCTCGCTTTCTGTCTCTCTGTCTCTCTCTGTCTGGCAAGTGCATGTGCCCTATAGCAAAAACCTCTCAAAAAAAAAAAAAAAGGGGGGGTGGTCTACCTTTCGAGCTATACATAAAGAATGGAAGGAAAATTTATATGTTTTAAGTTAAAGAAGATTTTTACGAGTCACAGTTTGGGTGTGTGATATTCAACTGCCAAAAATGAAATTGGAGGTTTTTAAAGATAAATACCTTTATTTGTTTCCTTGGTCATTTCACTAAAATAAAGCACAAGTGGACTGGTATCTTAAATTTAGCTTTAAGTGGATCAACTAAAAAAGCAGAGGTTCTGATCCCGTAAAGAAGAGAGATTAACAAGATTTTTTTTTTTTTTAATTTTAGCAAATTTTTATTTAGCCATCTGTTCAGGTTGTGCGAGGACACTATAAAGGGCAGCAGACTGGCAGAGTGGTCCACGTGTACAGGAAGAAATACGTCATCTACACTGAGCAGGTGCAGCGGGAAAAGGCCAATGGCACAACGGTGCATGTGGGGACTCGCCCCAGCAAGGCAGTTATCACTAGGCTGAAACTGGACAAAGACCGCAAAAAGATCCTTGAACGGAAAACCAAGTCTCGTCAAGTAGGAGAGGAAAAGGGCAAATATAAGGGAGAAACCATTGAGGAGCTGCAGGAGTCAAATAATCTTATATACCGTTCTTATTAAGAACTGCTAAAATGAAAAAAAAATACGTTTTTGTGAAATTTCTTTCTTCCATGAGTGAGAGAGAGGGGGATACGTAGACAGCACCCCATCAAAGTCTTGACCTTGCGGTCTACCCCAGCGTCAGCCAGCCCCGATCATGAACGCGCGCATGCCCCGCGTGTTCAAGGAGGTCTGTGGATGTGAACTCAGAACCTTCCCATGTGGGACAGCCCAGCCGAGCGGGCATTGCCGCTGCGACCCTGTCTGGCCCTCTGGCTCTCTTTTTTTTCTAGTTTCCTTTCTCTCTGCCTCTGCACTTTGGTCCCGGACATAGAGAGGAGAATGGAGCCCAGTAGCAGAGACAGGCCAGGGATGGCGCACCCTGCAGGGGCCGGAAGCACCGGGCCTTTCCCTCAGCAATCCCATGTCCCAGCAGGCCCTGGGCTCCGCTGCATCCATCCATCCGGCAGTGTTTGGACTCTGCTCTGGGCTCCGAGGAGAAGCTGTGAACCAGACAGGAGCTCTGGCCTCCTGGAGCTGACAGGCCAGGCGTTAGCCATGCGGTTCTACAAGGCCCTCCGCCCCACTTTGAGCTCATTGGAATGAGCCTCAGTAAACCTTTAACTTACGGACATGAAGCCTGAGCGATACAGTTGTATTCCTCAGGACCAGGCTTAAGTAGGTATCCAAGAAATATTTGCTTAATCAATGCACGGGAGGCTTAGATGAGATGGTGCACCCCACAGCCTCTGGTGTGAGGACGGCATTCGGTAGATATTTTCTTGGTTAGTGCATGAGAGGACTAACTGCTGTCTCCAGGGCCTGGCCACAGCAGGTGGACAATCAATGAGTGCTGAATGAATGAATGAATGAATGAATGAATGAGTGGGCTGAAAGAGGTGGTGTTTGTACACAAGGCCCTTTAGATTCCCACTCCCTCCCAAGTCCCTAGGACTCACCATCCACCTGGACCTCTGTCCTGGCTCTCATGGTCCAGGCAGGGTTGATGGTGACTGCTACGTGGTAGGTGCCGCTGTCTGTAGGCTGGGCGCGACGCAGCAGCATGGAGCCGTTGGGGAAGCCGGTGATGTCTCGGTTTCCCATGGCACTGCCATCTCTCTGGGGCCGCAGTTGCTCAGGGAAGTAGGAGAACAGCATTGTGCCCCCACTGGTCTCCTCCCCCAGGTACCAGTTGAAGTCCTGAAAGGTGTCTGGGACTCCCAGGACAGACAGGAGAAGATCCTGGTTCTTTTGAGGCTGCTCTGGAATCTTCTGGATATAAAGGGCTGCCCAGGAACTTTGAGGCATCCAGAGAACCAGAACTGAGGCTGTGAGGAGTTACAAGGGAGGCTTGAGATTGGAGGCATTCAGTGGGATCTATGGCATTCTCTTCTTTACAGTCCTCCTTTGGGAGCAAGGACTCAGTTGTTTATAGGAAACAGCACTGGGATTGATTAGTGATGTCTGACATGGGTGCAGGGGTGGAAGAACTGGTATGACTATCACAGATTTGCCCAGAGGTTTTTCTGTCCTGAGATGCTGTGTGACCTGCATCTAAGCACTTGGACTCTCTGAATTTATTCATTTGTTTATTCAGCCAATATTCGTTGGCATATGCATTATGTAAACTATAATGCCAATTATATACAACATGTCTAAAATTCCCTACATATCTAGTTACTGGGGAAACAACAGGGAACTAACCACAAAAAAGTCCTACTCCTATGCTCCTGACATTCTAGAAAATTCCATAAAGGCTGTGACTCTACTGCCCCTCCTCCCCCATCTTACTCTAATAATCCCACCTTCTTCTATAATATTTCCCTCCTACTCAGAGGAAACCACAGCCCCTGGGCTAAGTCCCACCTCCTCCGCTCAGGTTTCCTTCCTACCTGAGAGCAGGAGGCCCTTCCAGAAGCAGTCCTGGGTCTTGGTGGGAATCACCATCCTGGTGTCCTGTGGAGAGACGAGGGGGCCACCTGCTGGACGCTGAGGAGCCAGAGGGCCAGGCCTGGCTGCCTGTAGGGGCCAGCTCAGTGGGCCCCCTACAGTGTCTCCTAGACGCTGGGCTGGCACCCCTGTTCCGCAGGCTCTGGAACCACCCCTGTTCTTCTGTTCCCTGGATGAAGGCAGACACTGGTTGAACCAGTTTCTCAGGGTGACTGGGGAACTTCCCAGGGCTCCTCCTCTGACCCCCTTAAACTCTTCTTCCCATCCAGTGTGACAGCAACAGCTGCAGTGACAGCGGCAGTGACAGCGACCTCTGGCTGAGCAGGGGCCCGTCCCCACCCCACCAAGCAGGCCCCTGCAGGGAGGGTCAGCTCACGGCCACCACACATAACTGAGCCCACTTGGCCAAGTGGACACTGAGGCTCCGGGAAAGAAGCAAGTACCCTCCAGCTGGCTTACTCTGAAAGCTCCTGTCCAGTTTTTCAAGAGCATCCTTCCATCATTCTTTCCTTATCTTCACGCACATCCCCAACAGCCCACCTGGGTGCTCAGTGCTGGGGGTGCTGGTGACTCCCCCGCAGCCTGTGTCCAGCGGGTGGGTCTGGCCCTCAGCCAGGCTTTGCTACCACACACGACTGCAGGATCCTGGGGCAGATGGCTTCACCTCTCTGAGCCTTGGTGCCCCCTCTGGAGCGGGGGTGGGGATCAGTACCTCAAAGGATTTTGGGGGGAGTAACCAGAACTACAGGGAGAGAACCAGAGAACAGATGAGTAAGCAACAAATGGTGCCTATTGTATTATTATTATTAATATTATTGGCCTTGTCCCTGGCTGCTCCCTCCCCCACAACCCGCCAGGCGTCCTTGTGATCCAGCTCAAGGGAAGTGCGGTTTCCCTTCGGGGTGAGGGGTTCCAATCCCCACCTCCACTTTTCCCCGACACCTGGAAGGTTTCGAGGTGGTGCTCACAGGCTCACAACCGGCCCCCCGTACACACACTCTCAATCCCTCTTGCTGCAGTTTTGCAATTTATTCCCTGATAGAGGGTGTTGCAAACCCAGCAGTTATTTCCAGGCTGCTCATAGAGCAAAGCCAGAGATTCTGGATTTTCCAGTTGCTAGAGCGCGCTCTAGCGATTCCTTTTGCATTATTAAAAAGTGAGTCGAGGTTTAGTGCAGAGCATTTAGACAACTGTCGACAAGAAGGGGAAAAATCCAAGCAGCTTTGAACTGTTCTCGAGATAGTCACTGCTAATATGAGGTCGAGGTCCGGACTTCCATCCTCAGACTGGCAGCACCCCTGCTTCGCCCCAGCGGTGGAAGGCAGGTCCTAATTGGCTCACGCCTCCTAAGCGGTACTATTCCTTGGCCAGGGATTGGTTGAGCGGTGGGTGGTGCCGGCCGATGAGATCGGAGGGGATGCGGTTGGGAAAGGTTCCTTAGTTTACCCGGGAAGGGATGAGTGAGAAGTCCGGAATGCAGCTCCCACCTGGGCTGCACCCCGAGAATGATGCCCATAGAACCTAGAGCAGAGAGGCACAGCTGAGCCCGGCGCGCAGGGCCTCGAGCAGATCCAATCTGGTTCCTGTTCAGTCCCAGCCTGAGGAGGCGGCGCTTCCTGACCCTGGTGTCTGAAGCTTCCTCCCCATCGCAGTTTTATAAACCCCCCACCATTCACTTCAGAAATCTAGTTGGTTCTTGAAAATTCTACAGTAAGTGAAGAATTGAAAAACAAACACATTTTTCTTCCTTCAAAGTTTTAAAACGATTTTTTATTGCAGCAGAATACAAAATTTCCCATTAGAAAGTGCATACTTCCTGAGACCGACAGTTGGGGTAATGGTTATGTCGCTGGACTCCGACCTAGTCAACCGTGGTTCGAGTCCCAGACCTGATGGCTCAAAACTCATGCTGGGCATGTGCGTGCCCAAAGTCCTGGGAGGAGAATAGAGAAGGGGCCCCCTTCTCATTTTCTGTCTCTCTCTCCAGCAAGCACATGCGCTCTATACCAAAAATATCTCTCTTAAAAAAAAAAAAAAGTGCTCACTTCCGTGGTATTTAGTACATTCACAATGGTGTGTGGTCATCACAACTCTCCGCAGGAAACCTCGAACCTACAAAGCAATCTCTTCTCGTTCCTTTTTTCCTCTAGCTCCCAACAATGACTGATGTTTTTCTGTCTTAATGGATTTGCCTTTTCTGGGCATCTCATAGAAATGGAATCATACACTATGAAAGCTTTTGTCTCTAGCTCCTTTCACTTAATGCTATCAAGGGTCACCCACTGGAGCATGTATCAGCATTTCATTTTTTATGGCTGAATACTATTCCACAGCACAGATACAACATGTTTTGCTTCTCCACTCATCACTTGGCCAACATTTGCCATGCTTCCACCTCGAGGCTGTTATAAATAGTGCTGCTATGGGGCCGGGAGGTGGTGTGGTAGTTAAAGGTGCTGGACTCCCACATGGCTGACCTCGGTTCAAGTCCCAGACCTGGCAGCTTGCTTTCTCACTCTCTCTCTCACTCTATCCCTCTATGGTCATATAAAAATAAATAAATGGATAAAGTTAAATAAAATAATTAAAGGAAAATTTTACAAAAAAAATAGTGCTGCTATGAATATCTGTATACAAGGATTTGCCTGAATTTGCCTATTTTCAATTCTTCTGGGGATATACCTAGAAGCAGAACACTTCTTCACTTTTTAGTAATAATTTTTTAAAACATTTTTTAATTTATCTTTTCACTTGTGTTTTCAAGCTGCCAGGTCGGGGTCTTGAAACGTGGACAGCCACATGAGAATACAGTGCCTTAACCACCAAACCACCCACTGGCCCCCACTTCTTCATTTTAAAAATAAGTTAGGTTTCAGTAGCCGAGGCACTCTTATCCTGAGCAATCTCCAACCCAGAGACTTTTGAGACCTCACAGCTCCTCAAGGCGAGAGGATACTGGCTTGAACTCTGACCTCCCCCCACCATAGCGACAGGTGCACTGTGGAGGGATTTGGAGTGTTTCAGCTTCTCAGCCATCTCCATCAGACCCCACCCCGTTCTCTGATATGCAAACTGTGGCATTCTCAATCTTAAGTAGGGTTTGCAGAAGAGCTACACCAACATTCTGGGCCCATTCTCCATTCCTGGCTCTGTGGACCCCAAATCCCCTCAAACAGGCCATCACATACAACACTGGTGAGACCGGATTAGCACAACTTCTGTGAGGCAGTCATCTCGCCATCCCAAGGACAAGGGCACACTCACTGACCCGGCAACCCCGCCTCCACCTCCACCTCCGGGGTGTGCCCTGCTCCCACGCACCAGCATGAGCTCAATGGCGCTGTGCAAGTTACTCTGTACAAAGCTGTACCAGTAAGAGGCTGGAAATGATGCCAACACCTGTTCCTGGGGCCTTGGCTAAAAAAGTCCCATACAGCCCAGCTGCAGCATAGAGGTAGTAAACACCACCGGGTGACGACAGGGAGGCCGACTGGATCCCGGTAAACCTGAACAGTCTGGGTACAGCTGCGGGTGTGCCCATGGTCCTGGCAGGCAGCAAGGAGTGGGTACGGTGACATGAGAGACTGTCAGGATCTGTCTCTGTCTCTCACAAAATAAGTACACTTTAAAAAATGTCCTGTATGCCCTACCCACGAGAGGGGAGTACGAGGCGGCCACAGAACTAAGGAGGCTTTCCCTGGATGGCAGAAACCTTAATAAAAGCAAGGTGCCGTGGCCGGCTGGTGGTGTGGTGGTTAAGGTGCTGGACTCCCACACGGTCTGCTATGGTTTGAGTCCCGGACCTGGCGGCTTGCCTTTTCACTTTCTCTCTCTCTCTCTGGTGAGTGCATGTGTTCCGCAGCAAACTGAAAAATAATAACAAATAAATAATAAAATAAATAATTCTTAAAAAAAAAAGCAAGGTGCAGGGGCCTGCAGATGGTGTAGTGGTTGGGGTGCTGGACTCCCACAGGGCTGACCACAGTTCAAGTCCCAGATCAGGTGGTTTGAAACTCATGCTACGCCTGTGTGCATGTGTACCCAAAATCCCAAGGGGAAGATGGAGAAGGGAAGGTGTGGTCATCACCCCAGAGGGGTGATTTCTCACTTTCTGTCTCTCCGGCAAGTACATGCGCCCTACAGCAAAAATCTCTCCAAAAAAAAAAAAAAAAAAAAAAACTTTAATTAAAAAAAAAACAAAAAAACAAAAAAAACAAGGTGCAGAAGGAGCATGTGGGGGAGGGATAAAAGAAAAAAAGGTGCTATTTTCTGTCTGTGCACAAATGGACTCACCAGAAAACAGAGCCACAATTTATCTGCACTGGAGCAGGGAACCCGGGTGGGGCTAGATAGGAGGGTTCCCCCCAAAATATTCAGGTCCTAACCCTGGAGCCTGTGACTGTCAGGTGACTCCGCAGAGGGACTTTGCAGATGCCACGAAGGATCTTGAGGTGGACAGGTGATCTAATGCGATCACAGTGGTCCCTTAGGCGGGAGGAAGGGCGGAAGGTCAGAGGAGGATGTGATGGAAGGAAAGCCAGGAACGTGGGGGCCTCTAGACGCCGGACCCCCATCCAGTGTGAGGACTCTCCCTGGGGCCTCCAGAAGGGACACAGCCCTGCTGACACCTTGGTTATAGCCCTGCTCTTTGGACTTCTGCCCTCCAGGACCGAGGGAGAATCATTGTGTGCTGCTCCAGCTCACTAAGGCTGCGGTTGATAAAATTCCCCCATCTAAAGTGTATGATTCAAGTATTTTTTTTTTTTTTTTAGTGTAGGATATGATTTTTAGACATCGTGCTAGATTAGACAGAACATCGGCCATTCTCGCCATCTTAAAGCATACAATTCAGTGAGCCTCATAAATCTGCGATGTGCGAAATGCGGTATCCACAGGCAGAAGAGCCACGCTGGACCCTTACCCTACACTCGCTCCTCACGAACCCAAATGCATCTCTGCTGCCTTTTCTGAACTCTGGGTTTGAGAATGTTTATGTGCTCTCTAATAAGTTATAAGAGGATGAGAAAAAAGAAAAAGACGAGCTTCCCCCCGGTGTCTGAGGAGCCCGAGGACTTGGGTTCTTGCGGCCTTGTTGATTCAAGGTCTAGTTTCCTCCCTTCTGGTTCTGTCCCTGGTGACGGTCCACGTGAACCTGGAGCTCCTCTTGATTCCCACAACAGACCCCCTTCTGTCTGGTCACTCATGATGTAATAAATAGGCTTCCAGGAGACCCTGGGCGCGGAATGGACAAGGAGCTTACACTCTGACAAAGCAACCAGCCCCTCCTTGTCGCCCAACTCTGCAAGGCCTCACTGGGTTCATGGCCCCTCGGGTCCCTGCCTCTGCTCTGCTTCTGCCTCCCAGCCTTTTCTGTTCTGCAATCCCTCCTCTGTTGGAGCAGACACCACCAAATCCTGCCTGTCTTCTCTCATGGGGCATCCCGACCCAAGATAGCTTCTGTTCTCATGAAGAAATAAATAAATAAACTTAAAACAAAAACAAACACAAAAACAAACGCTGGTCACAAAGACCTGGGCGAGCGTCGCTGGCTGGCAACCCTGTGTGTGCGACCACACATGGCTGCCGGGCACTCGGGTGCTTCAACCCCTCCCCACGGGGCAAGGATGGCCAGCAGCTGGCGCCGGTTCTTCAGGGCCCTGCCCATGAGCTTTCTCCCAAGGCTGATCTTGCTCGGGGCCCTTTTCTCCGTAACACACCGGGATCCTGGGTCTAAGCACCACCTGCATTCCAAGTCCTGCTGGCAAGCAAGTGACAGAAAGCGGGTGGGCTTGGGCTGAGGCAGAGAGGGCGCTCTTGAGGTCCGGCACTGAAGCAGGCAGTCTCTGAGGGGGGTCTTCATTCACTGAGGCGTGGCCCAGCCACGGAGGCCCATGTCCTTGCCAGCTAGTCTCTCTAGTCAGTCCGGTGCTGTCACCTGGTGCCCCCGGCCTGTGGGCCCTGGGAGTTGTCCAGACTGCTCACAGCGGAGTAGGCGACATCCTGGGAGGGAGCAGGCAAACTGTAAGCTGCCCCCAAGCCCAGCACCAAAGAGCTCAGGCCTGTCCCTCCCCTCTCCACGGGGACTGCTTCTCAAGGTGAGGCAGATCCCCAGGCCCCATCACTCTCAGCGGGCTGCCTTCCAGCCAGTGCTAGGGCATTCGCCAGCCCACAGGAAGCGCTGGGAAGTGAGCTCAGGGCATTCACTGGCAGGAAGGGCTGGGAAGTGCCCCTGCAGGCCTTGGGGCTCCTGGATCCCTGTGGGGATCTCGAGATGCCTGGTCCCTCCTCAGGAAAGTCTCCATTAGTGGCTCAGGAGGACCCCTCCCCACCTCTGCTGCCCCACTGAACTTACCCCATTAGCTGAGGATCCGACACCGTCCTTACCTGGGGAAACAGGAGAGAAAGCTGTCATTTAGGTGCAGGGCGCACCCTATCTGGGCAAAACAACAGCACCTTTAAAGATGAGCAAAGTGTGGGACCCGCAGCTGGTGTGATGGCTATGTCACTGGACTCCCATGTAGTCAACCATGGTTCAAGTTCTGGATCCGGTGGCTTAAACTCACATGGTGCCCAAGATCCCGAGAGGATAATGGAGGAGAAGGGATTGTGGCGTGGCCGTTCCATTGCAGGGGTGATTTCTGGCTTTCTATCTCTCTGTCTCTGTCTCTTTCTGGCGAGCGCACATGCCCTATAGCAAAAACCTCTCCGAAAAAAAGATGAGCAAAATTTCCCACGATTTGTGCCCGTGCTGCAAGGCCGGAGGAAGTAGAGACAAACTGTGTCTCAGCCAGAGTGGACAGAGGGGACAAGGAGGGGCCAGAAGGGCAAGACCAGGGTGTTCCACAGCACCCGCTCACATACCAGAAGGCGTCGGCTCGCAGTCTGCCGCCGCCCCCTTTCATCCTAGGAAGTAAACCTGGGGACGGCTCAGGGCCGTGGCGATCCCCATCAGAGATGCCCGACCACCCGATCCCTGCTTTCCTCTCATGTATCTGTGTCTTTCTACTCCACCACTGCGCCTCCTCAAGTGTACGTCTGGCCGAGCAGGCCTCGACATCAAGGGACAACAACGCTGGGGAACCTGGGAAGGAGGTGTGTGGGTGTCGGGGCCCCAAAACTCCCAGTTCCAACTATGAGATTGGGGAGCCCCTTCCCTTCGTGGTTCACGCATTTGTCAAATGGGGATGGCGCATGTGCTCTGTAATGAGTCGGTCAGCCAGGTTATTAAATATAAATAAATACGTAGTGAGCAGGGGCTCTGGAACCAGATGAGCGAGCTCAAAGCCCATCTCTGTCCTTGAGGAGCTGTGTGACCTAGGACAAGTGTCTTAACCTCTCTGTGCCTGTTTCCTCAGCAAATAGCAGTATTATTCAGCAAACAGTGAATGTCTACCTTGTGCAGATTCATTCTAGGTGCCAGGATGCAACTGTGAGCGACTCAGCCAGCCAGCCCTGTTCTCCTGGAGCCTGTACGCCAGTAATAATAACAGCAATAACATCGTAGCTCTCAGGCATCCATCTCCCAAACACTGTATTATCGGTACAGGTACTCCACGTTACAGACGAGGAAACGGAGGCACGGAGATAAGCCGTTTGTCCTCGGTGACACCGGAAAGCTGCAGTGCGCTGAGCCCACCACTCAGCAAACACTTCAGGTGTCTCCTTGGTGCCTGGCCCAGTGCTAGGTGGTGCTGGGGACACAGCTGAGACCATGACAGCCCCGGTTCTACCCTCCTGGGGCTCACAGGTCACTGTGGGAAACAGAAAGTTCCCCCATAGTGATGACTCAGGGTGGGCAAGACTAGGGTGGGGGAAGCTTAGTCTGGGGGATCAGGGCGGGCTTCCTGGAGGAGTGGCCATCCCTTTGGGAGGTGAGAGGTCTATTTTGTTTAATGGTGGAGGAAAAGCTTTGTAGTCAGGCCTGCCCGCCACGTGATCTGCCACTATCCAGTGGGTGACTGCAGGTGGGCAGCTTCACCCCTCAGCACGCTTTCACAGCTGCCGAATGGGGCTCAAGCAGGACCCACTTTGCTGGGGACTGAGGCATTCGAGGGGGCTGTGCACAGCAAGGGCCTGGCTCATGGAATGTAGAACAGCAAACGCAGCTCTTCGGGCCGCAGCCTTAGCTGAGGGGCTTGGCTAGAGGCAGCATGGGGCGGCCACTCTGGGCTGGGCAAGGTCCAGGCCAGGTCCTTGAGGTGGGAGCGCACCTGGGCCTGTTAGAACGAAGGGGGGGGGTGCCAGCTCCTGCCACCCCCTCCAGGAGCCATCTTGAGCAGGAGGACGGAGCACCGCTGGGGGCTATTATTCTACCAACACCTGCCTGGCAGGGCTCCCGTGTCACCCAAATTAAAAGCCAAAGTCAAGGGTTTGCCCCCTCGTGCAGTGCTTGAGCACAGTGTGGAGGGAGCCAGATCCTACATGGCTGACAGGTTCAAATCCTGGCCCTGGCAGATTGAGAAACATACCAGGTGTGTGTGTGTGTGTGTGTGTGTGTGTGTGTGTGTGTGCATGCACGGGTGCTGCCCAGGACCTGACAGGATGGAACAATGGAGGGAGGACTGTGTGGTCAGGCTCCACTGGGAGGTCTCTGTCTGTCTGTCTCTCTCTTGCATGCATACACGCTCTCTGGCATAAAGAAAAAAAAAATGAAGCTGAGGTCAGACAGTGGCAGGCAGTGGCATGGTGCCCTGGTGAGACTGACTCATGGGGGAAGGTTCTAGGTTCGTATCCAGAGCCCTCCCTGAGTATTCTGGGCACACGCGTGCTCATGATCCAGGGCTGGCTGAGGCTGGGGATGGGTCATGGTGTGAGGACCTGCAACAGCACGAAGCTGGCCAAAGTCCTCGCTGTGGCCTTCGAGACTCTCTATGAGCTCACGAGCAAGACTCTTTGGTTGTGTGTCTTCATCTGTAAAATGGGACCAGCAGTTAGCATAATGGCTATGTCCCTGGACTCCCATGTAGTCGACCGTGGTTCGAGTCCCGGACCTGGCAGCTTAAACTCACACCGGGCACGTGTGCGTGCGTGCCCAAGATCCCGAGAGGAGAATGGAGGAGAAGGGATTGCGGAGTGGCCATCGCCCCTGGGGGGTGATTTCTCACTTTCTGTCTCTCTGTCTCTGTCTTTCTGGTGAGTGCACGCGCCCTATAGCGAAAACCTCTCCAAAAAAAAAAAAAAAAATTAAAATGGGGAAGCTCAGTGTGGGGGCGAGGACCAAGGGAGAGGCTGCACGTGGAGAGCTTAGTGCAGAGCCCAGCACACAGTAGGTGCTCAAATACGGCAACTCTGGGGATGCTCAAGCATGGCTGGCAGGTGGGCGATGTGACAAGGAGAAAGGGACTCACGGCGCTGTCTGAAACGCAGGAAATACCACAGGGCTCCCACGCACAGGACAAGTGCGACTATGGGTCCGAGCACGAGGAGGGTGATTTTCCAGGCAGACATGCCTGCGTGTGACTGCTCCCCGGAAGTTCCTGTCGGAAGAGAACGAAACAGGTTCTTAGGTAAGGACGCTTCTGGGGTTTTTATCTACCTCATTCGGGAAATGGCACCCTGGATTTCCTTCAGGAAGCCACCACTTCATCCCCCTCAGTCTATATGGTCCAGGTGATTGACCCCATCCCCTGGTTCCTAGGGTGGGACTTTGAATCAGGCCTGGCCTGTCAGCACATTCCATTCTCCCTGGCTGCTATTGGTTCAGATGTGGGCTGTGAGCTGAGCTGGGCCAATGACAGCCAGCCCTGGGACTTTGGCTTGAGCCATTCAGAGCACTGTGTTTTTCCTCCTGGATTACTAAACCCCTGGATGTGAGCCTATAGTTGCTGGGGGCCATCTTGCTTCCCTGAGGACAGAACTCGACAAAGAAAACCAGGATTAAAAAAAGCAGAGAGAGGGCTGGATCCCACGTGACTGATGGCATGCTTCAAATCCCGGACTTGGTGGCTTGAAAAGCTTGCCAGGTGTGGGACCAGCAGGTGGTGTAGCAGTTCCGTTGTTAAACTACCACATGGCTGACTGCAGTTTGAGTCTTGGACTCAGTGGCTTCAAAATCATGCTGGGTGCAGGGAACCAGCAGTTAGCGTAATGGCTATGTCGCTGGACTCCCATGTAGTCGACTGCGGTTCGCGTCCCAGACCCGGTGGCTTAGAACTCACGCTGGGCACGTGTGCGTGTGTGCCCAAGATCCCAAGAGGAGAATGGAGGAGAAGGGATTGCGGCGTGACCATCCTCCCTAGGGGTGATTTCTCGCTTTCTGTCTCTATGTCTCTCTCTGTCTGTCTGGCGAGTGCACGCGCCCTATAGCGTTTTTCATGCTGGGCGCGTGTGTGTGTGTGTGTGTGTGTGTGCCCAAGATCCCAGGAGGAGGGAATGAAGGAAGAGATTGCGGTGTGGCCCTCTTCCCTGGGAGTGATTTCTCACTTTCCCTCTCACTGTCTCTGTCTCTCTTTCTGAGGAGTTAAGTGCCCTAAGGCAAAAACCTCTAAAAAAGAAAAACGTGCCAGGTGTGTGTGGGTGTGTGCTCAAAATCCTGAAAGGAGGGAGAAATGGAGGAGGAGGGATTGTGGTGTGACCATTTGCCATGGAGAGGCTTTCTCCCTCTCTGTCTCTCTCTGCTGAGTGCACACACCCTTTGACAAATTAACAAAAAAGCAAAGCAGAGACGGGGACAGTAAAACATGATGATCCGTGAGGCTGACCACACGGGAAGGTTCTGTGTGTCCGGAGCCCTCCCTGAGTCCTCCACGCATGCATGTGCCCACAGTCTGGGGCTGCGTGAGGGTCACAGTATCGAGACCCTGTTGAGGGCGTTGTCTCTGTCTGTCTCTTTTGGTCATAGAAAAAAGAATTAAACTTGAAAAGAAAAAAAAAAGCAGAGATAAGAGATGTAAAGAAAAGTTAGAAAAAGAAAAGCAGAGATAAGAGATGTAAAGAAAAGTTCCTGGGTCACATGTTTGGAGCACCCGGATTGTCCAGGCCTGCTCAGCAAGATGAACGCCTCAGGGGGAGCGGCGGTGGATTTAGAAAAATGTCACACAAACACATAAATACAGAAAAGCGAGGATCGGGTGATCGGGAGTCTCTGATGGAGACAGTCAGGGCCCTGAGCCGTTCCCAGCTTTATTTTCGTACAGAGCAAGAGGGGTGGATACAGGATGTGAGACCAGATGCCTCACTGAATGTAAGCGCGAGCCGTGGGGCATCCTGTGTCTTGCAGGTCTAGCCTCTTCCTGTCTCCCTGCCCAGTGGGGCTGATACACAATTCCTCTCTACCTCTGCTGGCCTTGCAACGCGCGCCCGTGGGCAACTGCCTCTACTCATTTCTTTCTTTCTTTCTTTTTGGAGAGGCTTTTGCTATAGGGCGGGTGCACTTGCCAGAAAGACAGAGAGAGACAGAGAGACAGAAAGCGAGAAATCACCCCCCAGGGGGGATGGCCACGCGCATTCCCTTCTCCTCCATTCTCCTCTCGGGATCTTGAGCATGCACGCACACGCGCCCGGCTTATAATCCCCAAGGACAAGCAATAGTTGAAAGGGCTAATTAACACTTAAAAACATGATTAGAGAAATAAAAAGGAGGAGATGAGGTGATCCCCGGTACTCCTCATTCCAAACTTTCTCTCGTTTTATATACTTTACGTTTTGGCCCACATTGGTGGGCCTCATGGCTGCAGAAGTTCACTATCAAGGGACAGAAAAAGCTAAACGTCAATATGCAAAATGGAAGGCCTTTAGTTCAGGAAGGGCCCTGACCTGGTATTAGCATGGGACCGAGAATATGCTTGTATTTTTTCTAGAATTTTCATCAAGGCCACTGTAGGTTTCAGCATGACTGGTAAGATCACTTAACCATGAGCTCACAACAGGACGAGCTGGACAGATGGAGACAGAGAAACCCCGAGAACAAAAAGCGGCAGAGAAAAAGGAAAAGGACGAGATCGACAGACAGCCCCGCCCCTCACGTGCGGACAAGTGAAGGCCTTAACCAGAAATGCTGAAAAATGAATAAAGGACCAGGAGCAGCCAGTCATGGCTCCCTTTGCTGTTCCTGGCTGTGATCAGTATTCCAACTCTACAGGGAAGTGCTTCCCCATCACACAAAGATAAAGCTTATTGGGCCTGTGTTCCGGATCCTCCTACGTTACACCCCGTTACCTGGAAGGCTCTAGAACTTCATGCATTCACAAATGATTCACGTCCACTGATGCCCTGACAACCAGTGGGTAAAGTTTAATTACCTGCTGTTACTGACCCACCCTCTATTTGTCTTTCCAACACACGAGCGTCCTGTGTACAAATTATTCAAGGAATAAAAAGAGCCATTGTACAATTTTACAATGAGACCCACGCGTGACGGTTGACATCACATTGCATACTAATCCCTGTCACAATAGTTCTGGCTTGGTTCCAGGAAACTAACCGTCCCTGGATTACACGTCACTATAACACACCTGTCAAAGTTATCTCCTTTTTTTTTTTTTTTTTTTGAGAGGTTTTTGCTATAGGGTATGTGAGTTGCCAGAAAGACAGAGAGACAGAAAGCAAAAAATTACCCCCTAGAAGGAATGGCCACACTGCAATCCCTTCTCCTCCATTCTCCTCTCAGGGTGTCTTGGGCATGCATGCACATGCGCCCGGCATGAGTTTAAGCCACTGGGTCCAGGACTTGAACTGTGGTCGACTACATGGGGGTCCAGTGACATAGCCATTACACCAACTGCTGATCCCCAAAGTTATCTCTTCTAACATCCAACCTTTTTTTTTTGGAGAAGATTTTGCTATAGGGTGCATGCGCTCACCAGAAAAAGAGAGACAGAGAGAAAGAAAGTGAGAAATCATCCCCCAGGGGGGATGGCCACGCCACAATCCCTTCTCCTTCATTCTCCTCTCAGGATCTTGGGCATGCACACACACGGGCCCGCTGTGAGTATAAGCAACCGGGTCTGGGACTCAAACTGCTGTTGGCTACATGGGAGTCCAGTGACATAGCCATTACACTAACTGCTGGTCCCCTAACATCCAACTTTTTGATTGGTCATGTTCAAAACACCAATTATGGCAGGATTTATTCCCAGTGTCTTAACAACTCCTGAAGGTCACCAACAAAAGGATCTTTGGAAAGCAGCTATGGCCCTTAATCATTCCCAATTCCTATGTAGTGAAGACTTGCAAGTTTCCACCTACATATTCGGACTAATGGCCTTGCGAAACGGGCACAGATCGTGGGAAACTGGGCCTTTACTCATTTCTAAAGACTGCCATTGTTGGGACCAGCAGATGGCGTAATGATTGCATTGCTGGGCTCCCATGTAGTTGACCGTGGTTTGAGTCTTGTATCCAGTGACTTAATACGCGCTGGGCGTGTGTGAGTGCATGCCCAAGATCCACAGAGAAGAATGGAGGTGGATGAATTGTGGTGTGGCCGGATGGGGTGATTTCTTGCTCTCTGTCTCTGTCTGCCTCTCTCTGTCTTTTTGGCAAGCAAATATAAAAAAAACCCCCTCCCTCTCAAAAAAAAAAAAAAAAAAACCTGCCATTGTTCTACCAAGACCCAGCTGCTCCCTACACTGGATCAAACCATACTGCAAGGTGCATTGCTTTTTTTTTTCTTTAACAATTATTTTCTTTCTTTATTTATTTACTTATTTTAATTTGACCACTGAGGGACAGAGCTAGTGAGAAAGCAAGCTGCCAGATCCAGGACATGAATCACAGCTGGCCATGTGGGAGTCCAGCACCCTTAACCACCACACCACCCCCTTCAGGGGCCGGCAGGTGGCGTGGTGGTTAAGGGCGCTGGACTCCCACATGGACTTCAATAAAGTCGTTTTTTGTTTTTTTGCTTGGGCACACTTTGAGTATGCTTCTGTTCACTTCCTTCGATATGGTTCTGCCTAAGACACTTAGTGAGGCCTTTCTGAGCTGCTGGGGAAGAAGCGTCCCACAGGTCCCACAGCTACCCTGGCCTACGTGTGGGGTGTATCCGGGCAGCGGGACAACGGTCCCAGTGGTATGGATGTTAACAGGAGAGTAAAGTTGACCCCACTGGTCCTTTTCTGACATGGCTGGGAGAAGGATGGGAGTCAGAGGGCATTCTATGGCTTGGGATTCCCTTGGCTGGGGATGGCATTCTGATCCTCCCTCAGAGGGGACTCTGCTGTGACCTCCTCTTTAGGTTCCCCTGTTCCTCCCACCCAGGGAGCTCCTCACCGCTGAGCAGGACAGGCAGTTCGTTCTGGCCAGTCCCCAGGGCATTGGTGACGCTGCAGTAGAACGTTATATTATTGGGTTTGTCCGTGGCATCAATCAGGAGCTGGGCACCCTGGGCCTTAGCAAAGGGTGGCAGTGGTCCCACGGTCCTGGAAGAGACAGACAGAAGGTGAAGAAGTGGCCTCTGCTGGAGGCCCGGAGTGACAGTGATGGGGCACTTGCAGTGTGCCCGGAGCGGAGAAACCCTCAGCCCTCTACAATATAAATTCAGAGCAACTCTCAAGTCCCCTACTCTTCTCTTCCTCTCACCTCCACTTCCACCCCACCAGCCTTCAAAATCTGTGCAAAATCCCACCGCGGCTCACCGCCGGCCGCCTCCACGTTCTGAAGCTTCTGCCTGCTGGATGCACAACGGCCTTCACGCTGGGCATGCTGCTCTCGTCTCCTGTCTGTTCCCCACGCCGCAGACAGGGGGCCCCCTGCGACCCTAAGTCAGCCCTCATTCCTCCCTGCTCAGAACCCTTCCCTCAGAGTAATGCCAAAGCCCTCCACAAGCGGCGAGCCCCACAGGATCCGCCCCTATACCTCTGCCCACATTATCTATCATTCTGTGTCCACAGGGTCTCCTCCTAGGGCCTCAAGCACTCCAGTTCCGCAGCCAGATGCTGCGCAGGGAGGGAGTGACGGCCAGAAACGTGTGTGCTTACGCCGTTCCCTCGGCCCGGCCCGTGTGCTTGTCCCCCAGGCGCCCTCCTAGCTCAGGCTCACCTCCTGGCCTGTGTTCAGATGCCATCTTAACGACCTGAAAGCTATGACAGCGGACTCCTTCCCCCCATCTGCTTTATCTTTTCCCCGGCAGGTGCCGTGACCGGCTGCACACCACGTACGTACAACTCCACCTCGTTTATTTGTCTCTCACTAGAAGGGAGCCCCACGGGGCGGGGGGGTGGGTCGTTGAGGCTGTTTGGTGGTGGGGGTGGGGGGGATTTAGTCTGCTTTGTTTACTAAAGTATGTTGGTTTTTAGTGCCTGCCGCATGGTAGGCACTCTTGTTGTTTTTGGTTTTTCTTTTTTAAGGTTTTTGCTATAGGGCACATGCACTTGCCAGAGAGAGAGAGAGAGAGACATAGAGGGGAAAAGTGAGAAATCATCTCCCCAGGGGGATGGCCATGCTCCAATCCCTTCTCCATTCTCCTCTTAGGATTTCAGGCACACACACACACACACACACACACACACACATGCGTGCACGCGCCTGGAATGCATTTCAGGCCATTGGGTCTGGGACTTGAATGTGGTCAGCCATGTGGCATTCTAGCACTTTAGCCACCACTTCACTGCTGAGTCCTCCTCTTATAATAGGATCTTAATACCACAGTCCACTCTCAGTCTTAGTCAACTTGGCTCCAGTGCATGCTCCTCCATGCTTCTCTTGGGATCTTCGGCACGCATGCACATGTGCCTGGTGTGAGTTTTAAGCCATGGGAGTCCAACAACCTAATCATTAGGCCATCTGCTGGTCCTAGGGGGTTTAGTGTCTTAACCACCACTCCACCTGCTGGTCCCGACGCTCTGGTTTAACGCACACCCTCTGCAGAGCCCAGACTCTACTAAGCTGTCTGGCTCAAGGGCCTGAACCGTGGCTCTTTGAGGCAAGATATTCAGGTGCTGTCTGTGAAAACCTTTGACTGGCAGTTTCTCTAACTGATAATCAGTAACTGACCGTGTTGAGCACACAGGGAGGGGCAGGGCAAGTCACCATCATGGTATTGCATATTAGAAATGGAAAATGACCTTTGGATCCCATATCATGGACTGATTACATAACTGATAGTACAGCCATAGGAGGGACCTTCAAAAACTCTGTGGAGAGGGGCCGGCAGATGGCATGGTGGGTAAGGGCGCTGGATTCCCACATGGCTGACTGTGGTTAGAGTCCTGGACCTGGCGGCTTCCTCTCTCACTTTCTCTCTCTCTCTCTCTCTGTCCCTCTCTGATCAAATTAAAATAAATAAATTAAATAAATAACTGATTAAATAAGTAATTAAAAGAAACTTTGTGGAGAGATGGAATTAAAGTATGAGTTTATTTTGGTGCAAAAAAAAATCGAAATCTAAGCATAGTTAGTACGCACTTCTGTGAACTTTTTTAAGACCATGGTTTGGTGGCACCCACCAACATAAGGAAAGGGGCAGTGGATGCTTTGAAACATAAACCATAAGGCAGATTGATGGATGGATAAGGCCGGCCCTGTAGTGCAACAGCAAAGCACTGTGCGCTGGGAGCCAGATCTCATGTGGCCAACCACGGTTCAAATCCCGGCCCTTGTGGCTTGAAAAACACACCAGGTGTGTGTGCATGGGTGCCTAAAATCCTGACAGGAAGGAAAAATGAAGGGATGGCGGTGTGACCATGCCCTATTATGGGGTGTGCTTCCTCTGTCTGATGAGCACACGCGCCCTCTGGAAACTAAAAAAAAAGATGTAAAATGGCCTAGATGTGGTGGCAAGGGGGTAGCACAACGCTCAGATGTGAGGAAGACCGGGATTCAGTTCCTGGTTGACCAGTGTACGCCGGCAGGCACCTGCCTGGCTGGGAAAGCTGGGGGAGGCTGTGGCATGAGACTCTGCTAAAGGTGGCCCCTCTTCTCATGACGATAAATAAATAAACTTTAAACAGTTATGTAAAGGGGGGCACAGGTGGCATGGTGGTTGAGGCTCTGGACTCCCACATGGCCGACCATGGTTCAAATCCTGGATGTGGCAGCTTGCATTCTCACCTTCCCTCTCTGTCTGCCTGTCTGTCTCTCTCTCTGGAGAGTGCGTGTGCCCTAGAGCAAATTAAAATAAATAAATAAAATTAAATAAATAATTCTTAAAAAGAAGAGTTATGTAAAGGGACCAGCAGATGGCATAATAGTTATGTTGCTGAATTCTAACATAGTTGACTGAGGTTCGAGTCCTGGACCCGGCAGCTTAAAACTCATGTTGGGCATGTGTGCGTGCGTGCCCAAGATCCCAAGAGGAGAGTGGAGGAGAAGGGAATGCAGCATGCACCCCCCCAGGGGAGTGGTTTCTCACTTTCTGTTTCTCTGTCTCCCTGTTGAGCACATCCACCCTACAGCAAAAATCTCTCTAAAAAACCACAAAAGTTATGTAAAATCATTGATCTCTTTGCCTTTTTCTTCCCCACCTTTTAACCCCAACCCGGTACGAATCTGGAGAAATCTGACTGCTCTGGGCCTCACTTGCTCACCCAGGCGGGGGGCAGTACCCGCCCATCAGAGCACGCTGAGCAGGCTACAAGAGGTCACCAGGCAGGTGTACGGACAGGGCTCGGGTTTGGAACCTGCTGCGGGTTTGACGGCTGCTTCTGTTCTCCTGAGGTTGACTTTTAACCCGACTACACTGGCTGAGGGAGTCCATGGGCTGAGACGGGGCTGTGGGCAGGCATAGCCCCGGGAAGGAGGACCCAGATCGGGGCTAAACCAACTCGCAAACTGCAGTCGCAATTCAGGAACTGCACTGGGGGCCCAAAGTTATCACTTCTCTCTTTATTTCCTGCATCACCTTCTTCATTCAAACCCAGGAGTTCAGCCCCAGCCCCTCCTCCCTCAGACCCCAAGCTGGGCCCATCCTGGACTCACGTGTTCCAGTAATAGACTGTGGGCTCTGGGTTGCTGCGGACGTTACAGGTCAGGGTGATCTCATTTCGACTGGGGTCCCTGTTGATGGAGATGGAGACCTCCGGGGGGTCTGGAGAAAATGGACACAGGTTCAGAGACAGGGAGCCTTCAGAGGGGAAGACTCAGAATTTATGAGCAGCAGGAAAACCAGGGGGTGGGAGGGACAGCCTGAGGTGAGAGGCCTGGGAGGCGTATGGGCAATGGATCCCCCCAAGAGCAGGAGCCTGGGAGTCCTTGTCGGCGGGGCACAGAGGGTCTCTACTCGCCGTCCTGGGCAGCCTCCTCCTGTCATGCCCCAGATCTCCTGTGAGGGGTCAGCCCCGTAGCCTTGTGGTTAAGGGAGCCGGATCCCACATGGCCAACTGTGGTCCGTATCTTGGACCTGCCATCTTTTTTTGGAGAGGTTTTTGCTATAGGGCACGTGTGCTCGCCAGAAAGACAGAGAGACAGAGAGACAGAAAGTGAGAAATCACCCCCCAGGGGAATGGCCACGCCGCAATCCCTTCTCCATTCTCCTCTCAGGATCTTGGGCACACATGCACACACGCCCGGCGTGAATTTAAGTCACTGAGTTCGGGACTCGGACCGCGGTCGACTAGATGGGAATCCAGCGACATAGCCATTACGCTAACAGCTGGTCTATGGACCTGCCAGCTTAAACAACACTCTGGGCATGTGTGTGTGCCCCAAAGCCCAATACGATGGAGGAATGGAGGGGGAGGGGTTGTGGCGTGACCATGCCCCATAGGGGGCGCCCGCTCTCTCTCTCTCTCTGTTTCCCATCTCTCTCTGGTTCAGGACACGTGCCCTCTGGCAAATAAAAGACAGACAGGCAGATAAAGGACAAGGGCAGTGTTGACAGTGACAGGGAGAACCAGTGTAAGCTGCGGGGGAGGTCAGTGTAGACGGCTGTGGGCAGGTGCGGGACATGTGTGTGGGGCAGACTGTGTAGACGGTGCTCAAGAAAGCTGGTACAGTATCAGTGTGGACAGTGGCTGGGAGAGCCAGGCTGGACACCCCGAGAGGCGGTGCTGACTGTGGCCTAAGAAGCTGGGGGAGGCGAGGGGGCCAGTGGTGTCAGTGGCCCTGGGGGGCCAGTGTGGACACTGGCGAGTGGACCACAGCCGGGGGAATAGTGTGGGTGGTGGTGGCAGGACGGAGGGCCGGGGGAGTGAGTGTAGACAGTGGGGGGCAGCCCGCAGTGTTCTCGCCCCCTCGCCCGCGGGTACACTCACAGCGCACGGCGAGGGTCACCGGGATCACGACGGGCCGCTCCAAACTCTCGTGCTCCACCGTGCACGTGACATTCTGGCCGTCTGCCTGGCTGGTGGGCACCAGAGTTAAGAGGCTGGTGACGGTGAACGTGCCCGGCAGGGGCCCTGGCACCTGTCTTGTATTGGTCATCCCGTTCAGGTGTGAGGACCAGGTGATTCGGGCAGGTGGGCGGCTCCCGGTGGAGGAGCAGCGGGCCACGGGCACAGGCTCCTGGGGGAATGGGCCGAGTGTGGCCTCCTGGGGCTCGGCTGTGTTCTGGGGCTGAGCTGAGGAGAGAAGCAAAGGGGTGGGTTAGCCCTCACCTGCAGTCACTCAACCAACACCCTGGGTGCAAAGGGGGCATGAAGTAGGTGCGGATGGCCGGGTTCAACCTCAGCATTGTGCCTGAAGTTGCTCGGCCTTAGGCAAGTCTGCGGCTCAGTTTCCTTGTCTGTCAGCTGGGGACGATGCTGGAATGACAGGAACGAAAACACACAGGTTCGGCTCTTAGAATGGGCTTGGCACAAAGTAAGTGCTCAGTAAATACTGGGGGTGCGGAGCCCTCGCCGTCCCAGAGACAGCCCCAGACTGCTCTCATGGGTACACAGTCTAGGGGAGGACCCAGAGTGGGCAGCGCTGGGGTGGGGGAGCCCAGAAGGGGTGCCTGACTCTGCAGTGGGGGTCAGGGAGGCCTTTGTTGAGGGGCAAAGTGGGACCGAGCCCTGGAAGTTGAGAGGGGATGTGACTGTCCCCAGGTCATAGCTGTATGCAAAGGGGCGAGGCTTCCATGCCAGGCCTGCCCGACTCCAACCACCTCAACCATCTGCACCAGCCCGGGCTCGCCCTGCCTCCTTCCCCACCACCCCTGTGTTAGTACCTACCAAGCTCCTGAATCCCACCCTCTGCTGCGGTATCGCCCTCGCCCTCCAGCCTCAGTCCCGGACACCCAGGTACGCTGTCTTGGTTGGGTGCTGGGTGCAGGGGCCGAACTGTGCTTGGCACGTCCGAGTTACCCACAAAGCCCCATGAGCTCAAACAATAAATGTCAGCTCCTGGTCTTCACAGGGATCCCACCCCACAGATGAGCACACTGAGGCACGGAACCTTCCTGCTCAAGTCCCAGAGCAGGGGCCTGTCCTCTTCTCCCAGGAGCTCAGGAACACCAGCCCGTGAGTCCTCCCTCGCCTTCCTGGCTGTCTGCTCAACTGCCCCTTCTTCGCCAGGGTAACAAGAACTGACAACTCTTGGGGCTCGCGTGGGCCAGCCCAGGGGGCAGCGCTGACCCAAACAGGTCTTTGGCAGAGGGCACTATTGCTACCAACTCCCTTAGTGGTAAAACTCCTCCGGGGATGACCCATATGGGAGGGTTCCAGGTTCGAGTCCCGAGACCTTCCTGGGTACCTGGGGGCATGCATGTGTTCATGATCAGGGACTGGCAGAAGCTTGGGGTTGGCTGGCAGGGCCGAGGCTCTGTTAGGGGAGCACTCTCTCTCTTTCAAGAAAGAAACAAATAAATAAACAAAAAAAATCCAGACAAGGAATGTAGGGACCTAGAAGAAACCACTTTCCCGGGCTGGCAGAGGTGGAGCTGGCCTGCAAATACAGGCATCCCCTTCCCAGCCTCTTCTCTCCCTGTTTTGCACTGCGCTCTCTTCCTGCCCTGCAGCCCCTCCCTTACCCCGAATTCCCTCCCACCATCACTGCCCTGCTCCCTCTTTGGGTGCCCAGGGCTCCTCCGCTGTCCAGGGGCTCTCCCTCCCCCGCCTCCCCGACTCCCTTTCCTTCGCGCCCCACCACAGCCGCTCACCGAGTACGCGGAGCCAGGTACTGGCGCTGCCACTACCCTGCGGGAACGTGGCGAATTGGCAGGTGTAGTTCGCTTCATCCTCGGGGCGCAACTCCAACACGGCCAGGGACGCGTCCCGCGGCACCTCACCTTGCCGGAGGGCCACGAACTTCAGCCGCTCAGGGTCCGAGAGGCTGGGGCCGCGGATTGGGTGGAAGACAGCAACGCTGCGGGCGCCCCCCGCAGGCTCCTGCCTCATCCAGGTCACTTGCGTAACCTTCACTCCAGGATCCAGAGGCTCGAGATCGCACGGCAGTGTCACTGCCTCGTCCAAGAAGCCGCGCACTTGGGCGGGCGCCTGCACTCTGACGGTACCGGTGCCTGCAAGGTAAAACCCGGCCGGGTCAGGTAAAACCGAGACCGTGCACCTGCACACAAGGGCTTAGAGCCCCAGGTCGGGGCAGGAGAAGGTACCAGCAGAGGCTGGGATAGGGCGGCGTGAGGTCAGCAACCCCTCCCGGCCGCTATTATTTACCGTATTTACTGCTATTATTTACCGTATTTCCCATTGGTATTACCGTATTTCCTCAACCTTAGCAGCATCAATATTTAAAACTGTAGTTTTGAAAAAATAAATGTACTACTTAAGCCACCTTAAAGAATGATTTCATTTTATTAATCATTATCATTATTATTATTTTAATTTACTACAGGGCATGTGCATTCACCAGAGAGAGAGAGAGAGAGGGGAAGCAAGGAAGCAAGCCCCCAGGTCCGAGACTTGAACCATGGTCAGCCATGTGGGAGTCCAGTGCCTTAACCACCGCACCACCTGCTGGCCCTATTTAAGTCATCTCTCTTTTTCGTGTTTTGGTTTTATTGAAAGGTTTTCGCTATAGGGCACGTGCTTTCGCAAGACAGAAAGACAGAAAGCAAGAAATCACCCCCCAGGGGGGATGGCCACGCCGCAATCCCTTCTCCTCCATTCTCCTCTCGGGATCTTGGGCACGCACGTACATGCGCTCCCGGCGTGAGTTTAAGCCACCAGGTCCAGGACTCGAACCGCAGTCAACTACATGGGAGTCCAGCGACATAACCATTACGCCATCTGTGGTCCCCAGCCATCTTAAAGTGTCCATTTTGGTGACATAATACACTCACGGTGTTCTCTATCCATTACCACCATCTCATTTCAAAACTTTCTTTTAATTTGCCAGAGTGCACGGGCACTTGCCAGAGAGAGAGAGAAGACAGAGAGAGAGAAGGAGAGGGAGAGGGAGAGGGAGAAAGCACCCCCCGAGGCATGGCCACATAGCGTCCCTACTCCTCCATCTCTCTAATCTGCTGGGATTTTGGACACACGCAGCTCACACCAGGGTGGGACTTAAGCTATGCAGCTGACCATGTTCGATCCAGCCTGCAACCACCAGCTATGAGCTGGCCCGAGCTTCAGAACTTCACCCTGGCACTGCCGGTTTTAGGATACCGTGACCTTGTCACTTACAGCACAGCTCATCATCCGTGGTTAGAAAAGCCCCAATGTAGAAAACGCCAAGACACGGGAGCCTAGGATCCATGAATACAGTATGACTCAGGGCGAAGCCCAGTGGGGAGGATGTGTAAAGGGCTCCCTACACAAGAAGAGAGGAACTGTGGCTCTGGGGGTTTTGGATCCTTCAGATCCTGCGGTGAGGTGAAAGGCAGGTACTTAACTTCTCTGGGGTTATTTTCCCAAATCTGTAAAACCGGGCAAATAATACTGAAGCCTCGCAGGGCATGTACACGGATAGGCGTTCTGAGTGTCTCCATGGCATCTAATCCTCAACCCCTTACCCGAGCCGCCACATCAACACCAGTTAGCACCACGCATAGACGGGGAGGTTTGCTCCAGGCCACACGGCGGGGAAACAGCAGGGAGGGAATTTGAACCTGGCTCCCTGTAGTCAGAGTCCTGGCCAGATCCACCAGGACCTATATGTAAATCTTTCTGTCTAGGGACCCAGCACATAGTAGGTCCTTACCATATGTAAGTTCTTAGGACTCGAATAAACATGATGTTCTGCATTCTTTATTTTTTTGAGCTTTTTGTCATAGGGTGCGTGTGCTAGCCAGAGAGACAGTGAGAGGGAAACTGAAAAATCACCCTTGGGGGGAAGGTCACTCTGAAATTCCCTCTCCATTCTCCTCCAGGGATTCTGGGCATGCACACGTGCTCATTTGGCGTGAGTTTCAAGTCACCAGGCCTGGGACTTGAACCACGATTGACCATGTGGGAGTCCAGCACCTTAACCACCCACACCACCTGCCAGCCCCCATGTTCTACATTCTTATTAATAATAAATATACAGGAACCAGCAGTTAGCATAATGGCTATGTCGCTGGACTCCAATGTAGCCGACCGCGGTTCGCGTCCCAGACCTGGTGGCTTAAACTCACGCCGGGTGCGTATGTGTGCGTGCCCAAGATCCCGAGAGGAGAATGGAGAAGAAGAGATTGCGGTGTGGCCATCCCCCCTGGGGGATGATTTCTCGCTTTCTGTCTCTCTGTCTCTCTCAGTCTGGTGAGCACACGCGCCCTATAGCAAAAACCTCTCCAAAAAATAAAAATAAATAAAAATAAATATACGAATAATGGAGAAGCCAGGAAGGAGTAAAGTTCTCTAAACTCTAGTCCTACTAGTTGTGGGCTCTTAGACAGGTGGTTTCAGTCCCCGGAGCCTCAGTGTCCTCATTTGTAAAATGGGGGTGAGAGGGGGCCGGCAGGTGGCATGGTGGTTGAGGGCACTGGACTCCCATATGGCCGAATGCAGTTTGAGTCTCAGACCTGGTGGCTTTCTCTCTCTCTCTCTGCCCCTCTCTGGTCAAATTATAAATAAAAGTTAAATAAAATAATTTTTTTTAAAAATGGGGGTGAGAATGGGTTGGTGGGAGGATTCGATGGTGAAATCCACGTGAAGGGTCTTTCTGTAATGGTGCAGGTTATCATTATGATCCCGAGGAAGAGGAGGCTGGAAGGTGTTGGCGGAGGAGCCAGGTGTGTGCTGGGTGGAGAGAGGGCACGTGAGGACACAAGGCGGTGTGGAGTGGGGTGCATGCTGTCTGGAGTCTAGGTTCTGGGTTCAAATGCCTGCTCTACGTCTGACTTGCTGTGCAGCTCTGGGTGAGGGAGTCTCCTCCTAGCTGGCGTCTCCTGTTGGGGTGATACCAAGGTCCTCCCTGGCAGCACTGCCCTGGGAATGAAATCGGACCAGGTGGCGTCTTCCAGCCCTCCCGCGACCACATAGTTACCCTGTAGTACTCCACCCCCCATCAAAACTGAGCCTGGGAAGCTGAGGCTGGAAGGTTGCAGTCACCTGCTCAGGAGAAGCAGCAGGTGGAGACAGAGCCTGGCCCGAACCTGGCCCTGCTGTGCCCAGGGCTCTTCGGCCCTGGTGGATGGGCCCTGTCATTGCATTAGCTCATCATTCCCGCTGGGCGCCGTGGGCTGCTTACTTGCTTCTCTGTGCCTTAGTTTCCTTATCTGCAAATGGGGCTCACAGTGGGGCCAGTGCTGGGACTCTCCAAAGGGGATTTGGGTCAGTGGCCCTCCCTGTGCCCTACAAATAGAGGCACCTCTTTTCTGGGGAAGCGCCCAGTGATCTGCAAACCACCTTTAGGAGGGCCCCGGAGTTTTTATTGCTTACACGAATCAGCATTGTTCTATCATTCCCCAACGCATACACGGCCCAGCACACTCCAGAGTCTTACAGGTGAGAGGCCCGGCCCCAACACGCACACGTTTTATGGAAACAGGGAGCTTAGTTAACTTTCCTGAGGTCACGTGGGCAGTGAATGCCAAGAGCTGAGTTTTGAACTCAGGTTGTGGTGGTTGGGGCACTGAATACTCTGTGGCCAACTGCGGTCCGAGTTCCGGACCTGGCAGATGGCTTTCTCGCTTTCCCTCTCCCTCTGTCTCTCTCTGGTCAAATTAAATAATAATGATGATGATGACAATAAATAAAACACTTTTAAAAAATAGCTGCACCCCAATACTTGGAACTGCTGTTGATACTTAGCAAGCGCTCCGGAAAGGGTGGGTGCGACGCAGGCCTGAATTTATGAATGAATAAATGAATGACTAAACGGACCGCCCAGCCCTTGGAGCCAGACACTTACTCGGAGGGGGATGTGGTCCCGTGCTACTGTGCCCCTCCAGTCCGGCTCCGGTGCGTGATAAGGGCGTGGCAGCCAGCGTAGGAGGTAAGGGGACTCGGCATGAGTCACCCACCCTTCCCCGTTTTCCCGGACAGCACTGGTCCTTTGGAATTTCCGTAGCTAAGCACGGCTGCTCTCTGGGAGCAGGACTGGAGGGTTCTGCCCGGCCCGGACTCCTTCACGGGGTTCTCTGCCTGGGGCGGGGGTGGGTGGATAGGAAGGAA